GGGGCGGGGCGGGGCGGGGCGGGGCACCAGCGACGCGTGCCGGGCCGCCTTGTACCCGCTGTACACTGTACAGTACATCAGCACAGGTGCGCGAGCGTGTGTGCGAAAGGGAGAGAGAGAGAGAGGGAGATTGGGTATTTTTAGACCTGGATATAAGCCAGGGGTGGACAAGGCCCAAGTCAGTCACGCTCCAGCGTTGCCCCAGCTCCGCGGCCGGCCACTCCTGCGTCCTGCGTCTGGTGACATAACTGTCATAGGCTTGGACGACTCGCATCTTGGCAAAGGGCAAGAGTGCTCTCGCCAAGCGACGTTTCATCAAGGGGGGAGCAGAAGGAGAAGGAAAAAAAATAACGACAATGAGAGGCCAAAGAAAATAATAAGAGGGTCAACATCACCCCGTGATGACCCTTATACTCTGGCCCCGCCCCAAAGTGTCCTTGGACGCCCCTTCTCCCCGGCCGGCCCGCCCCGCCACCGAGGTACCGCGACCCATCCCCGAAGAAGAAGACCCCATTAACAACACTTCCGGCCTGTCCGCCTCGAGCAGGTAAGCGAAGAGGGGAAAAAAGAAAATGAACAACAAAAAAAAAGGCCAATGTTGTGACGTTTTAACGCCAAAATAACACTGAAAATAATTAGTTGATTGCTAATTCCGATCGACGTGCGGCCGGTCGGCCCTTGCGAGCTGTTCGTGTCCTGCCCCACCCCAGTCCGGCCGGCCGCAGCCCGGCTCGAATCGCAAAGTATTTGCATACGAATCTGATTCATCTCATCAATACATATTTTTCCTCTGGCGCGCCAAGAGCCGAGCCGGAGTCGCTCTGGAGGGAATAACACGACGGCCGTGCGACTGAAAGGCTAAAAAGGAGAGCAAAGGTTTGGCTGAAACTGCCCCTCTCTCTCACACACACTCTCTTTCGCTCGCTCGCTCTCTCCATCCCTCTTTCTCTCCTTTTCTTGTAAGCTGACAAACAACAAAGCCAGTCAGGACTCCGCCTTGAAAAAGGGGGGCGGGGGAATACCGACGTCACTCACTCCCCTGGTGGACCGAGTTGATCCGACGAGCGGAAAAGGCTTTTCACGCGGGTTCGAATACCGGACATGAGCAGCGAGTCAGTCCACTATCAATTTCTCAGTCAGCCGCCCCGCCCCGCCCGGCCCAAGGGCCAAGAAGCAAAGAGGCCCAGGCAAGCGCGGTCGGTGCGCATTCTTACATACGCATCACGCGTCATCCTGGGGCGGGCCAGGATCCTCGACGAGTGACAGGCATCGGCATCGTTCAACCACCCCGCCCCGCCC